CGCTACACTGTGTCTGCCTGTTCTCTTTCGGAACGTTTCACACCAGCCACGGCTGGCTTTGCCCATGTGGGGTTACTCAGCATAGTTTTCATTAAATCACTATGCAGGCCTCTGGCCTTCTCTCAGATCACTGTCTCAGATATGTTATCGCCATCAAATTGTTTCCAATGTATCCAAATTAACAGTAACTTCTCAACCGCTTCGATGGTCTGGGTTCTTTGTTTCATGGTTAAGGATTTCACACCTGTCGATATATTTGCCACTTTAATCATATATATATATGATTCTTTTTTATTTTCTCCAAAAATGTTGACAATGTCAATTTAGGCATGTTGTATTCAGCCACCAAATCAGACAAGTGGCGAGCTGATTCAAATCTTGCGATGATTTTTTCCCTTGGACTCTATCATGGTCCTCACTCTTTTGCTCCTAGCTTTCCTTCTGCTATCACTAACGTTCTTTGGAGCCATGGCTACAATATTTCACCCAAATAAAGGGGAAGGGGGAAAAAGGACAAGGGTGAATGTTTTAATGCACCACCACAAGCACTATGTGTTGTCTGCACGAGACAGAAGCGACATCCTTTGTGTCCTCAGCAAGACACAATGCGTGACTCCCTCTCCGCCCTCACAGGTCTTTGAAGTCTGATTTTCAGTTCAATTATGAAACAAAGTTACACACACGGGCAGAGTTTTTAGAACGCTGCAGTTCCGGTGGTGGAAAGCACAAGCTGGGAGCTGTTCCATAACAGAGGTGTGTGCTGACATCCCAACCCTGAACTTGTCAATCTCAAAAGAGGTTTCTGTTGGGTTACATTCATGAGGCTCTACCAGTGTCACCGAGACACGCAAGAAGGGCAGCAGCGGGCGTGGGGCACAGGCCCTGCGTAGATGGTCTACATTACAGTCAAAGGATGCTGAGGCGCCATAGAACACCTGAGGCTCCCAAGACATGAAGAACTGACAGGCTGATGCCCTGCTTTGGACTTCAGCTTCCAGACTGTGAAGAAATACATGTTGGTTCTTTAAAGTCATTCATCTGTCATGTTTGTGTTTTAGCAGGCCTAGACACAGGGTTAAAACCTATAGACGTGCAGGGGACCCCAGTCTTCCCCAGCTGTCATGGTTTATGTGTAGACAAAGGTTAGTTAACAGATCTGTGAAGGAAGCTGAGCTATGGAGGAACTCAACTGAAAACAATGAAAAAAATCAGTAACACTGGAACATATGGTAAGGGGCATTTACTTAAATGATATTAGCTAACGGCACAGTTGGGGCAGTGGAGGAATATGAGCTAATACCACTTTGCTATCTAACATATTAGAATGGTCCTAGACCCAAGGATCACACATTTCAAATCTGGTGTGCACACGATATCCTTTAATGAACCCACTTTCTTCCCTTGGAAGTCTGAACTAAGACACACGTTTCCTTAGGGAAGGAGCCCTGGTGGCACAGTGATTACACGTTGGGTTGATAACCACAAGGTCAACAGTTTGAAACCACCACTGCTTCGATGGAGAAAAACCAGGCTTTCTACTACCATAAAGAGTGACAGTCTCAGAAACCCAGAGGGGCAGTTCTACCCTGTCCTACCAGCAGTGGTCCTCAACCTTCCTAATGCTGTGACCCTTTCATACAGTTCGTGTGGCGGTGACCCCAACCATAAAATTATTTTCATTGCTGCTTCATAACTGTAATTCTGCTACTGTTATGAATCGTAATGTAAGTATCTTATATGCAGGATGTAATTTCACTGTTACAAATTGAACATAATTAAAGCATAGTGATTAGTCACAAAAACAATATGTAATTATATATTGGGAAGTATTTATTTCTAATGACAAATAAATGAAATTTTGTCTTGAAGCATGGTATAGCATGGGTGATAGTTTTCATGCCGGGTACTCGTATGTGGGTGTATCTGCATGTGGGCAGACCCACCTGGAGATGGATAGAGGAGCGGTGTCTCGTCCTAAGACCATCGGAAATGTATGTGTTTTCCAATGGTCTTAGGCGACCCCTGTGAGAGGGTCGTTCGACCCCCAAAAGGGGTCGAGACCCACAGGTTGAGAACCACTATCCTATAGGGTTGCTATGATTCGACATCGACTCACTGCCAGTGACTTTTGTTTGGGTGTGGTTCTTTAGGAATTAAATGCCCTCCATCATCATACTCACAACCCCAACAGGAAAGGCCAGTACAGCCAGGATCCAGTCCCGGAGAGAGATGAGCTTCTTTAGCTGCCTTTCTTGCTCTTGGTTCCCACTCCCTCTTGTCAGAAGACTAGAAAGGTCCGTCAGTACACAGATCCCGAAGAAGACAGCTTGGATAACCTGTAGGTAAAAAACAGCTCTGATGAGTCAGTCACATCCAAAGCCACCCTGTCTGGGGAACTGCAGACAAGCCGCACATCTGCAACACATCAAAAGGAATCAAAAGCCTATTTACAGGGAGCCCCGATCAAAACAGCAATGGCAACAACTCAGTTGCCGTCTAGCTGCTCCATGGTAAATTCGGGTGTGCCATTGTAGAGTTTTCAGTGGCTGATTTTTAGCACTGTATCTTTCTTTGGAGGCACCCCTGGATTGACCTGAACCTCCAATCTTTTGCTTGAAAGCTGAGCCTGTTAACTGTGTGCACCATCTTTTGAAATGGGACTCTGCAAATTTAAAAAAGTATCTCCAATTTGAAATCCTGTGAGAAAATTGATCTTAACACTATTTCCCTTTTGTTCTTTCAGGACAAATGTAGAAATGTACACACACAAATACACTCAAAAGACCCAGCAAAAAGCAGTATCATTTAGCAAACTAAAGTTCCCATGAGTTTATGACAGCACACCAAACCTGGGATCAAGTTATACTGACTAGTGCGGTTAGAAAGGAGCTAAGACTTGAAAAATAAAGGATCAGGGTCATTGCTGAATAAACAAGACACATTTTTAAAACAGATTTTATTGGGTGTGAGTGCAGATACCCTATCATTCCATAGTTCAATCACATCAAGCAGTACTATACAATTATTGCCACAATCAGTTTCAAAACATTCTCTTCCTTCTTGATATCAGCTCCCTTTTACCCCTCCCTCCACACTGTACTCCTCTCTTCCCTCTCCCCCTCTTCTTCCTCCCCCTCCCCCTCCCCTACTTGACCCCACCTCACCTGCACTGCAATAGAAGACCAGGGAAGAGAGGTACCATAAGACAACTTTCTGCTCATTCATTTTTTATGGGGGGTGGTGGTATTGTCAGTCTGGGTAGACTAGAGAAACATATTCATAAACACATTATATGTATATAAGAAAGAGGTTTATATACAACAGCAGTTGAATCTTGAGAAAACAGCCCAGCCCAGACCAAATCAAGTCCATAAGTCTGATATTATCCCATATGTCCGACACCAATTTATAAAATCTTCTTCAGACTCATGAAACCCATGCAATGATGCCGAATGCAGGAAGATCATAGGCCAGTGAGTGGGAAGTCTTGTAGATCCAGTGGCATTGTAAGGATCTTAGCACTGGCACAGGTCTCCACGTAGTTTCTCCAGATCCAGGGTTCTGGCTGCATCAGGGTAGGTCCATGTAGAGAGTCTCCAAGGAGGTGAGCAGAGAGAGAGAAAGAGAGAAGTGTCCCCCTGCCTCCAAGGAAGAAAATACAGGCGTTCCCAGAATCCTCAGGAGAAGGCCATGCCCACACAGAGGCCTCAATGGCCATGACCTGACTGACAGACTAGACTCCACCCCTTCACTCTTAATCCTCTCAAGTCCCAAATTGATACCCAATTATGTAACTACCACCGTGGGATGGGGGGCTTATTTTTTGTCTTTAATTTGAATCCAGACTGGCTAATATTCAAAAAATTAACCTCCAGAAATGATGAAAACAGGCTACTCTTTCCTAGAAAGAAACATGCATTGAAGTTTGACTATTTGCTTACAAGGAGGTACCCCCAAAAAACCCTGGGATTGCACTGGGCAGAGTGGAGCTTTCATAGTATGCATTTTCTCCTGCTAGCTGAACACTGAGCAACTCACTCTGAGATAGTGTACCCAGTGGCATCACCCGGGAAGGTTCTCTCTGGTCACAGTAAATTTTTTTGTATAAACATTTTTATTAGAACCTCGTTTTTGTGATGCCAATTTATGAGAACAATGTGCAGCTTTGATATTTGTTTCCTGCACTGGAAAAATGCTGCCTAAACTGTTGTGATGTTGAGCACAGCTTACAAGGACAGAACTATGGGGAAAACTCAAGTGTACGAGTGGTTTTCTCATTTTAAAAAAGGTGAGATGCTGACTATGACAAAGCACATTCTGGATGTCCATCAACTTCCGAAAGGGACAACAATGTCGACACGTAGTGTATTTGGAGTTCGTTCCACCAGGTCAGACTGTTAATCAAGCTTCCTATTTAGAGCTTCTGAAAAGATTGTATAATAAACAGTGTGTGACAAAAAAAGGCCTGATTTATGGCAGACGGGGGAATGGTTTGCCACCATGAAAATGCACCTGCTCATTCAACCATCTCAGTGTGCCAGTTTTTGGCAAAAAGCAGCATGCCTCTCTTGCCCCACCCTGGTTACTCACCTGACCTCGCTCCGTGTGATATTCTTTCCCCAAATGAGAGGGATATGAAAGGACAGTGACTTGACAATAGAGAAGAAGTGAAGAAAAAAACAATGGAGGTGCCATTGTTTGACTATTTGCTTACAAGGAGGTGCCCCCAAAATCATCAGCCATTCAAACAGATGAGTTTGAAAAATGTTTCCAAGAATGAAATCGCAGATTTGACAAATGTAGTAAATGTAATGGAGAGTACTTTGAAGGTGATAAGGTCGTTTTGTTAATTATTTAAATACATAGCTTTGGGGGGGGTGTTCCATTTTGATGGGGGGAGTAACCCCTCATATTTAAGATGCTGTTTGTTAATACTATTAAAACCTTGTGTGCATTTCAGCCACTATTATTAGAATTTAATTTAAGCCGGCATGTAAATCATATTAAAGATATTTTATTTGAGTGTTTCTATTACCTGTGTATACTATGTTGTGCACCACAACTTGATATGCATTAAGCTAATTGATAAAAATGTAGATGTTATACAGATATGCACAAGTGGACCTTAAGCAGGATTGCCTTGAATCATTACTTGGCTCTAGGCATCTTGCAGACTGGAATTTTCAGTCCACCAACTCAGCATGTCACATATGCACCATCTGGCTCTGAATTCTGAGCAAGCAGGTTGCACTTATTATTTTGAATTACATGTAGAAATGAATTGGCCAAGTATACCTTAAATCTCTCAGATCAAGTGTGCCTTAAATCTCTCATGAAGATAAGATGAGAAATGATAAACTGATCAGAATAAAAAACAAAAAAAAACATGATGTTTTGGAGTAATTCCAATGTTTGCTCCTCTAGCATGTTCTCTACTGTTTAGTTCTTTCTACATGTTCTTACCGCCTTCACCCCCATCCTCTACAGCTCTCCCCTTTAGGAAATAACAGCTGATTGCACAAGGTTGGAAATGTACCCACATTCCATGCATATCTTTGTGCTTCTGAGACATGGGTGATTTTGATTAAATGCATATAGATTATTTCCCTTGTTCTATGGACTGCACTAAACTAGTACAATTCTCTGTTTATGCTATAAAGCAAATTCATTGAACTTCTACCATTTCATCCCTAAGATAAATGATATAGTTGATTCAGAATAGGCTTTCATTTCATTCTATTAGAACACCTTCAATAGCCTCAATGAAATTTAAATGCATCAAACCTAAAATGTATACATCAGATTATAACTTTAATCAATTGATAACTTTGACATTCTAGTATCACTGGATGTCTTTTCCTCAGGCAAGAAAGACCCAAGGAGGTAGCAATGTAGCAAAACTAACAGATGAAGGATGGAAGCAGTTATTTATATACATTACTAATTTCCCTCTTTGAAGTAAAGCTTCCCACGGCTGGAATCTGTGGCGGTCCATGTTTTGATCATGTGATGCTTTCATACAACTGACTATAAAGTACACCGTGAGGCTTATCTTAAAGACTGCACAGGATTTCAATTTAACTTCACACGTCGCAGACAGGGGCAATACGAAGACGGAACTTGAAGGGTAGGAATGGCCGTTGGAATGGTGTAGACTGTGGAATGAAGGAAAGCTGCAGGGAGAACAATCCAGAGAGCTGGAATGGAGGCTGTGGGATTTATAGGTGTCCTAAGCGAAGGCCCACCGGGATCCTCCCACAGACGATAAGAGCAATAATGAAAGGAAATGATAAAGAAGAAACAACAAAAAGATACCCCAAAAAACCTCTCGAGCCCCTAGAGAATGCTAATTTAACCGTTCTTAAATTTAAGTGTTCCAGAGAACGAGGAGGCTGTCTATTCCCAGGGGCGGTTCTACCCTCTTCTCGAGGGTCACTATGGGCCAGAATTGACGTGAAGGCAGCAAGCGTTTTCAGTTGATGTTACTGGTCATTTGAATGTAATTCCTAAGCCTTTGTTTTGTGCACTTAAAGGTACATACATATCTGCACGTGTGTGTGCGTGTGCATGATTTCTCCAATGTAGAAAAGTCAGGACATATTTGGAGAAACGGCGTGAGTGCCAGGCCTTCCTGCATCTCCTCTACGTGGCGTGTGACACACTGCACACGACACCATAGGAATAAAAAGTCACTGTGTTTTAGTTCATAAAGCTTTCAATGCATTTCTTTCTGGAAAGCAACCCAAGGCACTGTGTGTTGAATAAAGAGTGGATGTGGTGGAAGGAGTTTGAATAGCATGTCGAAAAGATACAACAGCAGTAACATAGCATGTCCTAAAAGCCAGACTCTAAGGGCTTTCCCTCCATGCCACAAACGTCTTAGTCTTGGATCATCCCTAGCGCCTGCTCCCTGGTATCAAGATGAAGAGGGAACATCAAAGATCTTTCAGCACCACGAGGCTGTGACTCAGATTTGAAGTCAGATGAGTGCATTCGGCAGGGGGTTCTCCTCTCTATTTGACTCCAGTGCCTTCCCTGCTGGAGACATCTGAACATCCCCTAACAATGCTCCCACCCTGGTGTCCAAGAATAGTTCACGTCCAAACGCTACTCTGTAGAGAACTCCATGCAGGCACAAGTCCCACAGGCTCACTGTGGCTCCTTCAGCCACTGAGACAGTCCATACCACATTGCCCCGCCTGGGGAATTAGCCACCACTACGCTTGGGAAGGTGGGCAACCTGGGCAAGCGCATATGCTTCCCTCACTAATGACTGGAGCGGGAGTCGTTCTCAATCTGTCTTTGAAGCAATGTGCTTTCAGCCCCGCCTTCTCCA